CAGGAGAATGGCAACACAGGTAGGAATTGCAACCACAGAACCCTTTTACTATGGGACTCTCTGACACCTACTAGGCTTCTTGCTGACCTCTGCTCCAAAGGCATAGGACCTGTCTTCCTTCCTCTATTCATATCTTCTATGGCCAGGGCATGAGTCATAAGCTAAGGTCTGTAGTGCTGTTGGTGAGTGACTGTGGGCCATGCCTGCCACTCTCAGTCTAGACCCCAGCACGGACAGGCATCCATTCTTCCCTTCCTTCTCTGGCCTTGTGCCATATGTTGCTCTGAGATGGTTAGTGAATCCCTTCACTCCAAGCCTGCTAGGGATATTCAGATGGGAGCAGGGACAGAGGACAGGTAGCTGAGATTTACACAAGCTTTGGGCTGGCCAGGCCCATCTGACCTGGATCTCTGTGGAATGCCATTCATGTAGTGATTCTGCATTCTTGCTGGGGAGCAGAGAGGAAGCCTGATGGATCTGCAGCATGTGACAAGTTATTGACCAGATCCTGGCAGGATGAATGCCTACCCAAGGCCTGGTGAAGGAGCTTGGAAAAGGGTAGTTTACAAAATGTTTGCAAGATGAGGAAATCAGCAGTGCCTATTGCTCCACCCCTGAGCCATCACTTCATCCCAGCATGCAAGGCAAGGGAAAGAACATGCAGGAGGCCAGCTTGCAGGGCCTAGAGGGTTTCAGAAGACGCGTTAGGGGCTGGAGGTACTAGGCAAGGGAGAGTGGTGGAAACGAGGCCCACATTCATGCCTCAGTTCCCACCGCTGGATCAGAGTGGCTTCAAGGACAGCTCCTTTTTTCAGCACAGACAAGACACCAGGCCAATGTGGATGAACTGGGTGTTTCTCCAGAAAGGATCATGGGAGCCATGCTGCCAGCCAGGCATATCATTAGCCACTGCCTTGAAAAGCCTGGGAAAGCTTACCACACCAAGCCTCCTGACTTCTCTGACTTCATCTTCCTTCCAGGGTATAGAGCATCTCCAGAGAGAAGGTGACACCAAGTCAGCCAGGGCAGGGCAGAATCCAGCATGGCTCTTTTGAACACGTGGCAAGTTCTGAGGGGGAGGCATTTTCACAGCCAGGATCTGTTTTCTCTGGCATTTTCTGAGATTGATGATGTAATTAGAGCAAGCCCAGAGCGTGAAATGCCAGGTTTGTAAACTGCGATGTCCAGAGATGTTTATGCTCTTTGGCAGCACAGATAGATGACTAATCCTTTGTTCCCTGAGCTCAATGGAGCGTTTTGCTCCTTGTGAGGGCAGCACCTGCTCCCCAAGGCTGTCCTTACATATGTCATAAATCACAGCACAGAGATGCCCACAAATGGTGCCTGCCTTGGTTGGCACCTTCCAAGGGCACTGAGTTCTGGGAAAGAAGAAGGGGTCAATGGGCAGAGTGCAGAGAAGACTGTGGGCAGTCCTTCTGTTGGGGAAGGGGATCTCCCTTGCTGGTAGGAATGCACCATTTTACAGATGGAGCTGAGGGGAGCACTCCTTGGCATTAGACTTCCTTTTTCTTTTCTTTTTTTTTCCCTTAAAAAAAAACTTTGAGTTAGGATGGTTCCGGATACTATGTAGCTCCGGTTGGCATCAAACTCTTGATCCTCCTCAGCCACCCCAGTCCTGGAATTCCTGACAAGCATCACCATTCCCTGCTACCACTCTTTGAAGTCCATCATCTGCCATTTCTCTTTTTCTTTCCTTTTTTTTTTTTTTTTTAAATGGTACCCGTACTGGGATTTGGACTCAGGGCCCGAGTACTGTCTTATAGCTTTCTTTACTCAAGACTGGAGCTCTGCCTCTAGAATCACACCTCTACTTTCAGATTTTTGCTGGTTAATTAAAGATAAGAGTCTCTTCCCCTTTCCTGCCTGGGCTGGCTTCAAACCACAATCCTCAGATCTCAGCTTGCGGAGTAGCTAGCATTACAGGTGTGAGGCATTGGCGTCCAACCTCATCTGCCATTTCTTAAACCAAATCTGACTGTAAAATTCTGAGCGATTGGCACAAACTCTTATTTGCTGCTTCCACTGTGGTTTGAAGCTGATTTAAGCTGGTTTAAGCTTTCTCCCACGATGGAGCAGAGGTGTTCACAGAGCCATGGTTTTGCAGGGTGGTCTCCGTGTTAGGTGTGTGATCTGCCTCAAGCTTGTCTGTCATGGGTCCTCTTCACTGTAGGTGGTCTCTCCAGACTCATCCCCCACAAACCCCAGCTCCTCTTGGGGGTCACTATGGAGACATGACCCTCCACTTCAGGTGACTTCATAAGTGTAGCCTTCTGGCAGCCTCCTAGTGGTTTTTCTGCCTCCCAATACTAATGCCCCTCAAGTGGTGGTGGCCTGACATGGTCTCTTCAAAGAAAGGCCCTTTGATCCCAGGCCGGGGAGGCCTGTCCCCGTGTGCTCCCAGCTGCCTCCCGACGGAGCTGTGCACCCATTCAGCCTCTGCTGGGAGGCAGCTGACCCGAAAGTAATGTGTTTAAAAACACACACACAAAAAAAACATGGCTTTCAGAGCCCAAAGCAATAATATTTTCAGCTGGTTATTGAGACTGATCAGTGAGCCCCAGGGCTCCATTTGGTTAAATAAAACTGCGTTTGCAAATGTATTTTGGGACAGTACAAATTTCAGTGTTCTGGGTGGGATTAAGTTACCCCAAATGGTGGTCGGCCATTTGCCCAGGACCTGAGCCCTGCAATGCCATGGCTATATCTCCTGTGCCAGACCACAGGTGGGGCTTCTAGAGACACAGAACACATGATGCTTTTCTGCTTCCCTTGGAAAAGAGCAGTTGGTGCTAGAATGTGCAACCCCTTTAGAGGTGTCAATGCTTAATAAGCTGTAATCTATATGAACCTTTTATTTGACCACTCCGAACCTCAGTGCCTTCATCTGTAACTTGGGAACAATAATACCTGCTGTGTAGGGCAAGTTTATCATCAGTACCCTATTGGTGTGTGTGTGTGTGTGTGTGTGTGTGTGTGTGTGTGTGTGTGTGTGTGTGTGCGCGCGCGCGCACGCACGCACATGGGTGAGTCTGTATGTGGTTGTGAATTTTAAGTGCTTGTTGGGAAGCACAAAGGAAGATATCAAGAAAAAGGAGCAACTTTCTCTCCTTCCAAGTATCTCAAGAAGTCTTCAGTCAAATCATAGCATCAGGAAAGCCTCCGTTGTTCAGGGCTCCTCTTGATGGTGAGGAGGAATTTGCTCCTGGAGAGAGGCTATGGCCCAGTGACATGGTGGGAATTGGAGGCCAGTGGGCCAGTCCTTGATCTGCTGTGACCTTGGTAATCCCTTTACTTCTCTGAGCCTCTTCAAAATAAGGGGTTGGATTCCTTCTGGAACCATCACCCCACAGTCCTAGGATCCAAATGGTGGTAGGTTTTGTGTTTCTCCCCTAGAAAAGGTTGTGGCTCTTGGCATTGCCATTAGAAGAGAGATGGCAAGACAGGAAGCTCACTTGCTTTGGATGGAAACATGCCCAGCTCTCCCTGTGGACCTGACCTTGCTCTAGTCCCAGTTGTCCTGGAAGCATCAAACCCAAGACCTAAGCCGCGAGATTGCCTTGGACTCAGCAAGGATGGTTGAATATTTAGCTACAGAGGATGCCTAGAATAGGAGCTGGGGGTTGCTCTGCACTGGATCATTGCAATGCATCCCATGAATGCAGGAACCTTCTTGGGTCAAGGAAAATGTATAAATGTCTTGGTTTTGGAGTCCTCCCTTCTTTAGATTTCAGTTTCCTTGGCTGAACCAGCCGTGGACCCCAGTAATCGGAGTCCTCAGTTCCTTGGTGTTCAAAAAGAGCTCTAGGCTTGGAGGTCTGAGTCCCAGCCCTGCCACCTCTGGTTACATGATCCATGCAGTAGCTTTCCATTGTGAAGAAGGCTACAATGGTAACCCCTACCCCTTTGTAGCACTATCCTGGCTCATTTGTGTTATTCAGCTTTCTATCACTGTGACAAAATACCTGAGAAAAAAAATCAACTTAAAAGGAAGAAAGGTTTACTTTGGCTCCATTTCAGAGGGTTCAGTTCATGGTCAGCTGGCTCCGTTATGATGTGAGGCTGAACATCATGTCGTGAGAGCATGTCAGAGAGGAGGCTGCTCGCTTCGTCATGCCAGGAAGCAGAGGGAGACGGAGGGATCAGGGACAAAATGCATCTTTCCAGAACATTCCCCAGTGACCTGCCTCCTCCAACCAGGCCCCAACTCCTGCTTTCCACCACAACCTCAATAATGTCATCATATTATGAGTCCATTAAGGAATTAACCTATTGATTAGGCCAGAGCCCACGTGATCCATTCATTTTCCTGAAGTCCCTCAGCTGGCAACCAAGCCTCCCGACACAGGAGGAGCCTTTGGGGAGACATTTCAGGTTTAAACCATAACAGAATTGTTTTTCCTTGAAAGATAATCACAATGGTGATACCTATGGCATTTGTGCACTGGGTATTTATTATGTACCAGGCCCTGAACTGAGGGCTCTGACACTTCGATTTGCTCAGCTGCCCTATGCAGAGGTGTCATAATGCAGAGTACCTCTGAGTTCTTTATAGAGAATTGTGCAAATCAGGTCACATGGCTTGGAAGGTCTGAATACCCAAAGCAACCTTTCTGTGGCCTCTTAGTTTGGTGGCCCATGATATTCCAGCGTCTTCCTTTGATTGACTGATGTGACATCCTCAACACTAGCTGCCTAGTTGCTAGTCCTGCTAGCCCTGCAGAGGATATGACCCCATTTCTCTGGGCATTCCTGTTTGTTCCTCTCTCCCCATTGGCTCTATTATACAACCTGTGTGGAGAGTATCTCCATGGGAGAGTGAGGGACAGGTCTCCACTCTACCACACCCTGCTCTCTGGCCCTAAATTTCCTGCCCTATGGAAGCAGTGGATTGGTTAGGTGACCTCCAGGGGGTTCCAAGGCTCCGTAACTATATGAATTTCATGAGTAAATCTGTTAATGTTCTTTTTCTCCTGTTATAGGCAGAATACGAAGTTACTCCAGATGAAAAACTTGGAGAGAAAGGGAAAGAAATTATGACCAAGTACTTCACCCCAAAGGTAAGAGACATGGGAGTCCCTATCCAGAAATAGAGGACCCCAGACCCCAGCTGGGCCTGTGGGAAGCCTGAAGTATGAGTCTCATGGCTGCTAGTAGTGGGGTCAGAAGTTTCTAGAAGAAAGGACTCAGCAGGGTGCAGTGCCGACCAGCTGGTGAGGGCGGAGCTGGGTGGTCAGTAGGGAAAGGTAGAGTACACATCACATAGGAGTGGAACACACAAGAGAAGGCAGAGAATTCTGGAGAATGTTTTAGCGAACACAGAAGGGAAAAGGGCCATCCTGACCCCACTTCAGTATCTACCCATTGGTTGAAGCAACTAGGATAGTGACATCCTCTGTGTCCTAGCAATCTGGGTTCCCTGGATCTGCTGCCTCTTGGCCCAACATAACAGAAAAGAGTTCTTGACTCATTTAGTGCTCTGGACCCAGCTTTCTCACCCACTCAGACAAGCAGCCTTCCCTCACTAGGCCTCACTTTCCCTTTTCTTAAAGTGGCCTTCCTACTAGACCCATCAGATAGAAACTGTAAAAGCCAGAGTTTGTTTGTTTGTTTGTTTTGGTTGGTCATGGGGCTTGAACTCTGGGCCTGAGCACTGTCCCTCAGCTCTCCAGCTCAAGGCTAGTGCTCTACCACTTGAGCTATAGCGCCACTTCCAAAAGTCAGAGTTGAGACATGAATGTGAAGGTTTTGTTGGCACCCCAGGCTCCTGGGGACAATGACATCTTCATCTTGCTCAGGTCCCCCCAGTAGGGCACAGTTCATAGAGACCATCCCAGGCTGTGTGTGGACTGTGTCACTGGGCCTGCAGAACAAGGTCCCAGCCACCAGTTCCACACACACACATTTGGCCCCAGTTCTGAGCAGGTATATTCTTCACCTGCCCTTCAGCACCAAGCCTTTGGCATCTGTGGATCCTCAGGACTAGGTGTCAAGAAGGACCATCATGAGCATGGTCTCTGCTCACCCACAGTCATAGCAATGATGTATGGTGAGACTGCAGATGGATGCATTTCTATCTCCTAGGCACCAGGTGAAACAAAATGAACACCCTGGCATGAACAGGTACCTTGAGCTCAGAGGAGACTCCTCCTGGAGGAGGAAGTACCTGTGAGAGGCCGGTGGTGATAGGACAGGAATCTGGCTGAGTTCCTTATGCACCAGACCCTCATAGATGTTACCACTAATGGTGCCAGAACCCATTGAGATACCCCTGTTAATAGGCTCCAGGGCCCACACAGCATGCGTAGGCTGCTAGCCGATGAACTCTGCATTGCCCTCTGCCAAGGTCTTTTCTCACCACAGCTCAGCTCTCCACCTGTAGCCCCTTTGAGGCTGCCACACGCTGTCTCTCAAAAATACTGGTGTCTAGACACTGAGGGCCCATCATGTCCATGTCAAGCACTGACGCAGAGTCCTTGCAGCAGCTACAGACACTCTATCCTACAGCTACTCAGTGAGGCTGAAATCTGAGGATCACATTGGAAGCTAAGCTGGGCAGTAAAGTCTCCCTGAGACTCTTATCTCCAATTAACCATCAGAAATCCAGAAGTGGCACTGTAGCTCAAAGTGGTAGCACACTAACCTTGAGCGGAAGAGTTCAGGAACAAGCCCAGGATCTGATTCAAGCTCTATGACTAACAATGAAAAAAAAGGAAAGAAGAAGAAGAAGGGGAGAGTTGAAAGGGTTGTCATCTCCCCAGACACAGAGCTAGTCAGTGGCAGAACTGGGACTTGAACTCTCCAGTCTGGGTAGTTTGGGGGCCCTTGGCCTTTTCCCTAGGTGAACTGTTGCCCCCACCATTGCCCTCCTACAGCTAATGAGGATGGGGCACTCTCTTTACCAAGCCAGGATAGGCTCTTGTGGCTCATCTGCATGAGTGTGGGGCATGGGCAGGCATCCAGGCTGCCACAGAGTACCACTCCCTTCTCTTCCCTCCTCAGCCAGCAGACCCTGAGCTGGTCCCTGCAGCCTTTCTACCTCTGCTCACATTGCTTCATCTTCTCGAGGCTCCAGGCCCAAATTTCCCATCAGCTCAGATGGTTTTACAAGTGCCTCCATGCCTGCCAACATTTTTCCTTAAGTACTCCTCAATTTTTGAAATTTAAACTGCACCATCTGTTGCCGCCCAGGGGCCTGGGAGAGGCCGTCCCTTGGGGTTGGTTATTTTCTTACAATAAATCTTGCACTGCCCTTCCAGCCTGCTTGATTTTTCAGGGAGTCCCACAAGGGGCTCAGCTAGTGGCTGATGCCCTAGCCAAACCCCCACCCCACTTGTAGCCATTCTCTCAGACCCATACCATCTTTGCCCTGGGCTTCTCCTCAGGATGTAGCTCATGTGTTGGCTCCAGGCCGTTTTCTGAGCATAGCTGTAGGACACTGACCTGTGGAGAGGCCATGTTGTCAGTAACCCATAGAAAGTGCCAAGTACCATATCTCCGCTGGTAAAGACCCATCTGGCATGTGAGCATGTTAAAGTCTCTGAGAAGGCCGGCAACGAGGAAATTGGTTTAACTGCTAACAAAGCATTTCCCAAACTTACTTGACCACAGAACTTTCTTTTTTCTCATTTTTTTATGTCCATGACCACACCTACTCTTAACATCCTCTTCCCTGCTGCCTCATTAGGACCCCCACTGCCCAATCTTGATTTCCATGCCTTGTTGGCTTTGTTGTGGCTGTTCCCTGGAAGGTCCTGTTGCTTCCCCATCTTGGCATTTACTGTTTCTGCCTCTGTCTCTGCCCAAGATCTCCTGCACAGGGTCTCCTCAGCCTCCGGTCAGAGCCATGGATGCTGAACACCCTCTTCCCCCCCCCCCCCCCCACCTATACACATGACAACCCTCACATTGAATGATGGGGACAGGATGTCCGCAGACACAAGGTTGGGAACCCTCAGTACAGAGACTGGTTCAGGGCATGGATGGTCAGTGTGGTATGAAGGAAGGGATCTACCCTCCAGACTGTCTGGCCCCGGGAGCCATGTTGAGGAGGCTGACACTATGACATCGCACCAAGAGTCACAGTCAAGACTTTGGACAGCGTATGTATTTTAGGGCTCATTTTATGTCTCTAGACATGTGGAAGAGTAAAAGAGAAGGAAGAAGGGCTAGGGGGTGGGGGCCATTTCAGGAGGAACTGTTGCGGGAATCATGGAGGGATGTGAGGGTGGAGAGAAGGTTGCTGGGCAGGCACACAGAGGTGGGGGGAAGGCGGGGCTCAAAGGTGACTCCCTAGCTTTTGTCTTAGGTCTCAGAGATGGAGGATGAGGATGGCTGCTGCCTTTCTATTTTTCAGAGTCGGGATTCTTAGCCATTACCAGTGGTGAGGGCATGTGCTGCATGTGCCTGCTGGGCACAGTGCTGGACACCTGCTCTCAAGGGTCCGGAGACTGTGAAATACAGAGGGAGTCAAGGAGAGGTTCCGTCCACAGGCCCCTTACCTCTCCTGCTTCGTGGCCAGGCTCTGTCTTTTCTGCCATGGAACCGCATTCGCCCATGGGAGACACTTGTCACAGCCTTGTTCAAAGCTTGCATCCTACGAGGCAGCTTTGCTTTGCACCATCTGTCAAAGACACCATGCACCGGGGTGCTCTGGGTGGATTGACAGCTTCTCTGACATAGTTGAAGGCAGAAGAGTGAGGAGGGTTAGGAAGACCTGGTCCAAAGCCAGACAGGACCTCTTAGCAGCACAGCTCTGGGAATGTGACTGAACCACCTGGAACTGTGGGTTCCTCCTGTCCAACGGGTAGGGCTGTGGCCAGGATCATGACACAACCAGCAACTATGACACTGTAGCTCATGCATCCAAGACATGGTGGTGACTGTCCTCTGCCTTCCCCTGCCTTCTCTGAGCTTTCACAATCACGCAGTGGAATAAGGAAACCATTCAGACATGGAGCTCCCAGTGGTGGAGTTGTGTGAAGACAAGGAACAGTCTAAAGGGCCCTCACTGCTAAGGGCTCCACAAAAAGGCTACACTCATGAAAAGGCAATATATTAGTCAGGATGATTAATATAAGCTGCCACAATAACCCAACAACAACAACAAGGGGCTTCACAAACACAGATTGTATCTTTGTTGTATTCCATTGGATCCAATCCTAACTCACCTAGTTTTCTGTGGATGACTCATGGATCCTAGCTGCTTTTAGAGCTCTATTTCAAAAATCTTGAACAGTTCGCCTATGGCCCTCACCAAAGAGATTAGAATGAAACAGGCACAAAAGTTTTACTGCCTTAACCCAGAAGTGACACATAGTACTTCTTCTCCAGGTTATTGGTCAGGAGAAAGGCTAGAGAAAGTAGAGATACATCTGAAAGACTGAGTAAGCCTACCAGTAGATCCTCCTCCCTCTGTTCTCATCCCTCAGTCCCCAAGCTGTAAACATGTGTGACAATCTAGTCTCAGTTGCTTGTTTGACAGCCATGAACTTGGTGTGTCTCATAGCTGCTCTCAGAGGAGGTGGCCAGAGAGGGTCACAACCACTCATGTGTGGCTTCCATAGAGATCTGGACCTGCAGACCAGAAGAGATACAGATGACAGGGGAAGGGAGGGTCACTGAGCTGAATAGTAAAGGACCATGAAAACAGTGTTATCTATCACTCACCATTACAGACTTCAGTTTTTTAAAATAACAGCTTTATTGAGATCTAAATCACACAGCGTAAAATTTACAATGGTTTTGAAAAAATTTAGTCGTAGCCACGTCCCCATGGCTCATTCCTAAAATCCTAGCTACTTTAGGAGGCAGAGATCAGAAGTTCATGGTTTGAGGCCAGACTCCATCTCCAGTTAACCAGCAAAATGCTGTAGGAGAGACATGGCTTAATTGGTAGAGCACTGAGCCATGGGCAAGCATGCAAGCTAAGCAAGATTGTTAAGCCCTGAGTTCAGACCCCAGTGCACTCTCTCTCTCTGTCTGTCTCTGTCTGTCTGCCTGTCTGTCTCTCTCTCTGTTTCTCTCTCTCTCTCTCACACACACAAACATACCTGCATGT